ATTCCTATTGTACTGCTCGGTCAACACGTTCACATCCTTGTCTAAATCTAATAGGTCGATATACGTAGTGGCGTTACTTCTGCAAAACTTCGGCATATTATAGAATATTTCTGATTCAATCGCATACGGGAACGACTACATCTTATTGTCTTTTAGTTGTCCGCGAAAGTCCAGCACTTCGTACTTGCCCCGAGAACATAAGATTCCTGAACAGTTCACTTCAGGTAGACATTAACGAGGTTGACCTCCATTTACCGCCGAATCGTTTAAATGAATGACTGGCGCGCAACGTATACGTCAACTCTTCAGTTTATAACGATGTTACTTGCTAGTATTCCACATACACTTATATATTTTGGTATTTGTCGCATGATGTAGTCAAGGTTTCTAATCACTAGTAAATCGAGCGTACGTGTATAGTATGAAATTCAACTGGAGACTAAAGAGTATCAGTTTATTGAGCGTGAGTCAGTCTTAATGTAAAATAACGGACATGAATCATGGGATACTGTGATTGTTATTAAAGAAATAGAGGTTGGGCTAAGATTAGGAGAGGTGCTAAACCCTTAAACCAAGTTAGATAAGTAGGTAACCGTTGGATGTATTGGTCGTATCACAACGCCCAAAACTGAAATGGTGAGCTAATTTGGTATCGTGTGAACAATTCTGTTACGTAAGAATATCCAGTTAAGCAGTATGCAATTATGTTCAAATCTGAGTATGGTTGTATTCGTCTAATATATAGGCTCGACAGCTTTTAACTGTTTTTCACTAAAAAGGCGTTCAGTCAAGTCGGTCCCGATGTTTAGTAGAAATGTTAAGAGTTGGAAGCATCGAAATTGGTAACTTCAATTGGCATCCTACATGGGTAGGACTAAACTATACTGCCGAACTAATCAGAAGCTTTCGCGGGTTTTCAAGGTCACGGCGCTAAGTTCGTTACCTGATGCTCACGTACGATCAGTTTACAGCGGATTTTAGGGAAGAAATGATAATTCAGCGTCTACAAGAGAAGTGATCATAAGATTTTGACGCGAAATTCAATTATCTATTTGGATACATAGATTTGGCATTATAGCTGGTGTCAGTTCGTGATGAAAACCCTAAGTATAATTCCTAGCCTTAACTGTGAACTTTAAACCATAATTTGAATTCTTCACACAGGTTTATACCCTCATTTTGTCTCAGTTATTATTTGACACTCAGAGTCACTCTAGCGTCGCTCGAAGGTCCATAAATTATAGTCTCACCCATAACCCTAAGCCTTGACTCTAACCGTAAACTATGCAAATTTACTAGCATTATTGAAGCTATGTGGTCGAAGCTAAAAGAACTTTTGAGACCTTATCATGGTTTCAGAGGTCGACTACTATGGAGCTATATGGATGTGTTCCCCTACCGTATGCAATATGATTTTAGAACATCGGACCTTGAGAGGTTTTTGACTCATGTGAAAGAAGTGTTCCACTTTAAATCTTTGGTTTTGTTTAATAAATTTTTACTGTAGACTAACTGTCTCCTGATTAGCTAATATTTCTCAAGATTCGTTCAAACCGCAGTTTGGTGGATACGGAGGATCCACCTAAAGGAGTTGGAAGAGCCTGACTCTAACCCATTGGTGCGCATATCCCTCAATATCCTGACTTAGCGAAAAGCGTATGAGCCTATTGTTGGCGACCGGCCACCATGGGACTGCATCTCCTAACGTTGCCAAACTGCCTTGTGGACTAAACCAGCCCTTACAAAATTCGAATGACGCAGTGTGGCGCAAATATATTATATAATATTGCTTGTACCAATGTGCATATGTTTAAATAAATAAATAGATGTTTATTGAAAGACCCGCCCACTTACACAATTGTAGGATCCCATTTCTAGAACAAAGAAGCTAGACATAAATCCCTAATTTTCAGCAACTATTTAGTTGAGTCAATCCATGAAGTGAAACAATTACAACTAGTCTCCGTAAACTGCATTCTTAATTATTTTTCATTCACAACTATCATTTGCGTAACCCTCATCATTATTCTGATTCACTCATTAGTGGCCGTAGTCGATTTAATGTTATACACATCTGCGTGTAAACACAAGTATATGCTCACGTACGCATCTACTTCTAATCTAAATAATAATTTCTGTAATCTGCACTTAATCTTTTTTTTAAACGACCAGTCCGGTCCATTTCATATAATTTGGTTAGACACGTTAGGAGTTCTTTGTTCCCAAACTTATAAATTATTCACACAACAGATCAACATCTGTTTTTTTATCAAAAAAATTCTGGATTGATGTTTTTCGACGGTCAAGGTCATTTGTTAGATTGCCTTAGTATGACTCATTATGCGGTCTTAAGGTTAGTTAAGAGTATGAAGGATTTGAAAGCGACCAACCTGGTCTCGTGTGCAGTTAAGGGTATGAGGGCTAGTATCACTTCCCGGCTGCCCACACCGTGGAAGGGTCTTAAGGTTTATTGCATATGGACAGAAAATAGCAATGAATTTAATTCTCCTTACTTTATACTTTTGTTTGTCCTATAATTTTTAGGCTCAGATGATTCAGTAAAAGCTCACGTTAGGGAATTTAGATCATTGTCTGCTAGGTGGTTCAATATAAGCAGTTACTGAGAGTGAAAATATTGACAAAGATTCGTCATCGAATTCAATTAATCTATGTATTCAAGTTGCTCGTCCTAACATACTGTTTTGCAAGGACTCATATCGAAATTTCAGAGATTACCCAAACAACCAATAAAGGGGAAATAAAGCGGAAAATGCATTGGAAAATAAGTCGTAAATAAAGGCCCCGATAAAGTTATGTATTGTATATGTGTACAACTCAGCTATTGTGATGCTAATTATTTTACATATTTTTGATTACTGGCTATTTCCTTTAGAAAACTTTAACTAAGCAGTTGAGCGAAACGTTAAATTTACTCCTGATTTCAATCGTTGAGGTCATTACGAGTATAATTTTTGTTTCGAAATCTTACTTACGCCTGTTACTCCCAATGGATCTTAGGCTGCCGACCAGCATTCTCCAACCCACTCTGTCCTGAGCCTTCTTTTCTAGTTATATCCAGTTTTTGTTCATTCTCCTCATGTCTGTATCTATTTCTCTGCGTAATGTGTTCTTCGGTCTTCCTCTTCTCCATTGACCTTCAGGATTCCATGTGGGGGCTTGTCTTGTGACACAATTAGGTGATTTCCTCAAGGTGTGTCCAATCCACTTCCAGCACTTCTTCCTGATTTCTTCCTCCGCTGGAATCTGGTTTGTTGTCTCCCACAGTAACTTGTTGCTGATAGTGTCTGGCCAACGGATCCGAAATATCTTTCGTAGACAGCTGTTAACAAACACCAGTATCTTCTGGATAATGGCTTTCGTAGTTCTCCAAGTTTTTGCCCCATACAGTAGAACTATCTTGACATCTGTATTGAAAATTCTAACCTTGGTGTTGGTTGACAATTGTTTTGAGCTCCAGATGTTTTTCAGTTGTAAATATGCTGCTCTTGCTTTGCCGATCCTTGCCCTCACATCTGCATCTGATCCACCGTGTTCATCAATGATGCTGCCCAGATATGTAAAGGTTTCCACATCCTCCAAAGCTTCTCCCTCAAGTGTAATTTGATTGGTGCATATTGTATTGTATCGGAGAGTCTTGCTTTTCCCTTTGTTTATATTGAGACCTACTGCTGCTTAGGCTGCTGCTACACTGGTCGTTTTCTCCTGCATTTGTTTTTGCGTTTCGAAATCTTAGTACTATGTTTTTAATTTATTAATAATGTTATTTACACACAGGGAAATACTTATACATTTAAAATTGTCACGTTTTAGTCTTTGGATTTTCTGAAGCTCTAATCTATATAGTATACTGAAAAACGTTTATAATAACATTAAAAATATCTTGATTATAACGATCTCAGTTGAGTGACCAGTTTGCCCAAAGTGTATTTCACTGATGCATTATATGGTTCAGTAAAAAGTTTTTTTCTCATGCTCAACAAATTAATAAATCGTTTAGATGATTCATCATACAATTCACTGGCTCGTGGTATGTTTTACTAAAATTAACCTTCATTTACGCTACTTACTTAACAAGACCACTTATTGTCTCATTAGATAAAGCATAAAGTTTATCAAATGAAGAAAATTTCCCATTTGACAGTATCATACATGTGTTATTTTTGATTGCATCGCAGGTTGTTGTAGATTTCATATGATTAATATATTATTGTCTCGGTTATTCCTTACTCATTGATTAATCATCTGGCTTGTCCTTTTAGCAAAGAAATAAACAACTCAATAGATTGTTAATCGAACATATTCATACTTTCAGGGTAATCATCCCTTTGATGAATACCAATATTTTTTGGAGAACTAATAGAAACACATTAATTGTTAGCTTTGTATTAAATACGAGTGCTAGTCTATAATATCTACGTTTGGTAATTTTCGATCAATATAAACAACGAATTTGCATCTACGTTTCTACGAGTGAGTCTTCGAGATATCATTTGCTTAGTTCATCGTAAACCTAACATTCATATTCTTCAAGAATGTTAAATTTGTATTTGGAGAATTTTCTATGTATAAAATAGCAACTTGATATATGATAAAATTTCTCCAATATGATTTATTACAATAGAGTCTGCAACCAAATGCATCGTAAATTCTTTATTATGCTTTTTAACCATGGCATCCATCCGACTAATTATTGTTCGAGGACTATTTTCATCAGCAATCAATTAAGGCAAAGAAGCAACCGATAACGATGGAGCGCTGGAAGAGCTGTTTCGCCTTATTTTGAAACTACGCAGATGAATTTCGAAACAGGAATATAGGATATTGATTATTAGTCTAGAGGTTTTGTACTAAATCTCAAAACGATAATAATAACGCTGTTTGCAACCCCGACTAATACATTATGATAATTAGAAGTATTTGAATTGTAGTATGAACTAGTAATCCCAGGAATAACGCAATTTAATCAAGAAGTATCAGATGAACTCGAACGAATGTATTGTATTTGGAATTCAAAATTACAACAGTCATCAATACTAAGAAGTCATTGATTTATTTAAACATCACATCCGCCACAGCTCGAATTGAAGTGTAAGTGTCTGTAATCGATTGTTTGTCTTCTTCTTAAGTTCATCCTACATCTGTCCGATGGTGTATTGAATGTACACTCTGTATTATCTAGAATGCACTCATTAGTATTAGAATTAACAACGGAAATTGGAACAGACTCACCTGGGTTCTAGAATTGTATACAATCAGCATGTCGGTTGTGTAGTGAAACCATTGATATTTAGAATTTGCATCATGGACTTTCCAACAATATCCTCCCCCACGAAATAATGTTGGGTCCTTGATTCGCAATGTTTTAGCCAATATGACGTTCCCAATTTGCATTATCTCAAATCTTACGCACCGACTACTGTATGTGAGTATTTGGGAATAAACACTGATATATAATTTGAGGTATTCCATCATGTGACTTTGACTTGAATAAAAATCATGATACATATTCTTTTTGTTATTCATATTAGAATACACAGATGGATATACATTGATATATGTAATTAACACACGTGATTCAATTAGGCTTGATTTACCTGCGAAACAATCGGATAGAAAACATTCATCTGCCTCATATTCATTAGGATAATCTTGGACTTGATTTGGATTCTCTGTCTGTGCAAACTTCACTTCTGGGCAAACTGGTTCTCTGGTTGCTTCGGAAAATTTTGCTAACCCCTCTGTATCATTATACCCCTGACTAGGGATTCTATTCAACATGCATTGTTCGTGAGAGTATCCAACATATGACACAATAACATCAGAAATATGACTAGAATTCAACTCATAAGAAACATATTTTTCACATTCATGAGGAATATCATTAGAGATAAATTCATTATGAGGACCACTGACACTTGATATGATATCAGAATTCGATTCTTCTGAAATATTTTCCTCAAATTGATTAAGAGTTTCATTAGGTAATGGATCATCAGGGAATTCAACATCTACCATGACTGAATTTGGTTTTTGATCATGATTTGACTCATTTAACATTCTATTCTCAGAGTTGTAAGAAATTACATCAGAAGTATGTGAATTATTACGACAAACCATATCTGGCACAATAACATGAGAAATCTGATAAGTTGATTGGTTGAGAATTTTCGCCTCCCAATGACTCTGGGTTTCATTCAACTCTGGACTGTTATATAACGTTATACCTCTTCTAGATAAAGATAACTGATCATTAGAAGCATCCATCTTAGCATTACTTTCAGCAAAATGAACCATGGTATTACAAACTGACTGAATATGTCCAGTTATACCACATTTAAAGCATTTAGAATTACGAAATATACATGAATTACATGGGTGAAACTTGCCGCAGAACATGCATTTACTAAACTTGTGCTCATCATCATGGACTGTTTCACAACTCAATGAAGTATTATCTGAATAAATTTGATTACGCATCGAACTACGACGACTGTTTGAATAAGTGGAATTCCTGATGTTCTGACGAGTCATTTTATCGGATTTTCCTTTCTTACCGCATTCGGAATTTGTATACTTTACATGATCCAACAGAAGTTGCTTGAGAGTTGCATAGGGGAGTGAAATCGGTTTGTCTGGAAGTGCCAAAATCTTTATAAGGCTGTATGCTTCTTTCCCGATGAATGTAAGGAAATGGGCCACAATATTAAAATCCTCATCATCTTCCTTGGTCATAGCCCAGATTTCGAACCTTTCCATGTACTCCTCAAAAGCATTAAAATCTGAATTTATATTTAACCGTTCCATCACAGGCTCAGTCGCGACGCCAATATGATAATTAGAAGTATTTGAATTGTAGTATGAACTAGTAATCCCAGGAATAACGCAATTTAATCAAGAAGTATCAGATGAACTCGAACGAATGTATTGTATTTGGAATTCAAAATTACAACAGTCATCAATACTAAGAAGTCATTGATTTATTTAAACATCACATACATTCACTTTATCTTGCTTCCAATCTATGTAAATAAAGCGCATTAATTTGGAGAAAAACGTTTCACTAGTTCGGTCCTTCAGTAGACTAGCAATAAAATAGAGGATCTTTTCATATTATTTAATTTAGATCGGATCTAATTAAGTTGTAAATATTATTAGCTATGACAACCACGAGAGCTCCTTTCCCAGTACTGGCGGTGTGCTAAATATATACGTTGCTGTTTACTCGTAAACATAATCATTTCAACGAGTGCTTTCTAAGGTTGAGTAATGGAAGAGAAATTAACCAATAATATGAATCTGTGACAGCTTTACTATTGGCCTATTTCGATGGCTATCTACAGTCTTGCACAAGTGAATATTCAAAATTATCCTCTATAGACAATAATTTAAACCTTTTTATCTCGATTTAAGTGCATTCCATATTAATGAATTCTGAAAGTGGACTTGATACATGTAACAGCACTATTTCTAGTAGAAAGCGCATTGTAAAGGATAATATATGCTGTCGAGATCTGTTAAGTAGCTGAAAAAATACTGGGAAATTACGGTTGGTGTAAGTTTCGACAATTTGGACAATGTTTTTAGAGATTTTATCGAATAGAATAAATAAATTAAGCCAAAGTTCACCGGCTGTAACAAAGGTTAAAGTGAATAGGATTTCGAAAATCCAACTATATGATCAATGAGTACTTTGAATTAATCATCTTCAATTTTGAAGAATGAGTTGTTGTGATCAAAGCAGCATTACATCAGCATCAGAGAGATGATTGGAGTATTTAACTACGTTGAATTCATTCAGATAGAATCTAGGACAATGATGAAAATCTCAAAAAGGAACCAGATAAAGAAGTTATTTAGTTTCATATTCCATAATAAGCCAAGGTAAAATGGATCATTTATAGTCCAAAAGCATTTAAACAGCTTAATTTATCTTATGTAATTAATTGAAATATTTCTTTTTATTAATATCACGAACGAACCTAAGTCGGACAAACACTGAGAATCCCGAAGCACTAGAAAGGCATTTTTCTTGGTGTGGAATTTTCGCGGAGTGAGCTTGCACGACACTGCAGGTAGGAATCGAACGCAGGACCTTCAGCTTCGCGCAAGAACACTTGGCCACTAGACCACCATCTAGGTTTTAAAGGGTCAGTCAGCTAAAACGTAGGATCAGGCACACATACACATCGGTCCAAGTTGCCATACCTCATTAGCACAACAATATCAACATCGAATTCATAGAAGTAGTTAGTTTAGTGGAGGTAATGTATAAAAGAAAGGTTGTATATAAAGCGGACCCCAACCAAGGTTTTCAAGGGGTATCCAGAGTAGATTGAGTTTGTGATATTAATGAAATGTAATAGCTTAAAGTTATTTAAAAATCAGAATCCATTGATTTTGTTATATCCTCGATTGGTGAGCTCGACGTAATCCAGTATTCTGAAGACCGCTCCATGGACTTGTTTCTTCTTTCGATATTAAGTTACTGTATTTCTATCTACTTAGTGTGTTCTCGTATTTTTATAACATTTGTAACCTTGTCGTGAAACAAAATACACACGAAATGAAAATGACCGCACTCCACTGGAAATGCTCTTCGTGTTCAGTAACATCGACGTTGTATTTTTGTTTATTAGTGTGCTGATGAATGTCGGATGAGCTGCTTTATATGCATATTGTTATATATATTTTTTAGAGAAAATACTTTTAGTATTTTCACAGTTGAAATCATAGTCAATTGAAGCTAGACCACCATCGAAAACCTGGAAGCACTGGACGGCCGTTTCGTCCTATTATGGAACTCCTCAGCAGTGCGCATCCACGAACCCGCTCTCGCGAGCGAGATTCGAACCCAGGACCTATCAGTCTCGAGCCGAAGCCCTTAACCGATAGACCACTGAGCTGGCATCCAAAATACTTTTTTCCAAGTTATCCGATTTCTGCACTAATTCATTTTAAATTATTTTTATCCGGATTTCCTCTTTACGTAACTCCACAGCCTTTTATGTGTATATCACAGACGTTTACAAAAGGTTTTTTCCAAAACGCACTCATGTCTTTCTTCTTTAGTCTCGAGCTCGATAAGAAAAGAAAAACAGCAATCTTACATTTCTAACTTATTTAGACGGGTACAATTCAATGTTTGTACAGTTGCAAATTCAGCTCTCTCCCTAAAACTAGGAAATCTGAAATTTGATAATTTCGAGAAGTGATTGGTTTTCAGCACCATGCAAACAGATCATAAATATGAAAACGTATTTGCATTGACAGTTGAGCGTTTAGACACATGTTGCAAATGCAGTTAAAAATAACTGAATTGAATTAATCTTACCAATCATATTGAAAACAATATCTTTAGTAAACGGTAAGGTAGACATACGAATATTATTCATTATTTGGACGTATAGATTGAGCGCCGAGTATAGAGAAAACATAATTTGAACAACATATGTAAGCGAACAATTGTTTTCAATTAGATCGTCATCAGGCTTTACTCTAATATACATGAAGATTTATATGAAAATGTTAGACCAATCAAGGCTATTCGAGTCAATAATAATCACAATGAAATAGAATACGTTACCAAGCATAATAATAGTTAGAAGTACAAGTTGATAGTGGGAAGATAGGTGTACTGATAGTAGTAAGAATAGTAAATTACGATAACAAAAGTCTTATCAATAATTAAACATAAGAATTAAGAGGTCAAACGTGGGTAAATAGACTGGAATAGTAATCACAAAACATTAAAATCATTACCTAATAAGAAGTATGCAAGTAAATAGATAGTGAAGAATACAAACGGAAAGAGGATGAATAAAAAGGACTACGTTGAAAAGATGGAAACAATGCTTAATGATCCCAGCAAATTTCAAAAAGTCACCAGTCATTCCGATATCAATAAAAAAGTGGGAAACCAGTTGACTAACTCTCTTAAGGATTTAAAGAATAAGGGAATAATTACAAAAGAGATTCTTGATTCTATCAAACCGTCTGGATCTTATACGCCACGACTGCATGGTTTACCCAAAGTTCATAAACCAGGTCTTCCACTGCGCCCAGTCCTAGATATGTTCAATTCCCCTTATCACAAAATTGCAAAGTGGCTAGTACGTATCTTAGAGCCCTTGCACAAATCAATTGTTAATACGAGTGTAAAAGATGTATTCGACTTCACTTCCAAAGTGGAAAATATGAATGTTAGTATGAAAAATATGTTCTCACTAGATGTAGTATCCTTGTTTACTAACGTACCACTTATGGAGACTATTGAGTTCATATGCGAGCAAATAACTGAAAAACAAATCAACATTGGCCTGCCGGAAGATTGTCTGAAAGAACTGCTTTTAAGATGTACACTGAATGTTCATTTCGACTTTAACAATTCCTATTATAGACAAATAGACGGAATAGCCATGGGCTCACCTCTAGGCCCGATTCTCGCTGATCTCTTCTTAGCTGAGCTAGAAAATGGCCCAGTTAAGGAGGCTATTAAGAAGCTCGATCTATACTGCCGCTACATCGACGATACATTCATAGTCGTGGACCAGAACACCAGTAAGGATGAACTACTAGAACAGTTCAACAGTGTACATCCAGCGATTAGCTTCACTGGTGAAGGCGAGTGTGACATGAAGCTGAATTTCCTTGACGTTACACTAAGCAGGCGAAGTGATGGCTCGTTAAGTAGAAGCGTGTATAGAAAAAGACCCTCTGCCTGCCAATACACTCACTTCTATAGCTTTACACCTATCCAATATAAGAGAAACTTGGTTAGATGCCTCACTAGTAGAGCAAATAAGATCTGTTCTGTTGATACTTTAAGTCAAGAACTGGAATTTATCTATAACTCACTGACTGAGATCGGCTACCCTGCTGCGTTCATCAAAAAGTACATGTATGACACAAGGAAGAAATCGGAGATTTTAACTGTTCATAAGAAGCCTCTATACATGAAATTACCATTCAACGGGGATGTAGCTAGTGAAACCCTGAAAGATAGGTTAACAAAAGTAATTAGTAGAACTTTCTACGCAGTCTATCTTGCATTGACTTTCTCGAGTCGACCAGTGATGTCTACTCAAACGAAGGATAAGTTACCTGAGTTGGCCTCCTCCATGTGCATTTATAAGTTCAGCTGCTCCTGTGGAGATAGCTACATCGGGCGTACTACTAGGCAACTTAACCAACGAATGAGTGAACATCTACCAGCATGGTTTGGAAAGGGCCAAATAAAAACAATACGCAGTTCTATCTTGGCACATCTAATTGATAGTGGTCATATTGTCGATAAATTGAAATCATTTCAAGTGATCTATCGCATACCTCCATCGTTTCCCAACGGAGTTCGCTCCCGTCTACTTCATATAGCAGAAGCCATAGGAATTCGTACATTCCATCCCAATTTATGTGTACAGAAGAAATTCGTAACCCCCCTACCCCTTCCATGGCCGGACATAACTTAATAAATGACATTATTACTTGTAAAAAATTTTATTTTGGTTATCATTTTTTTTGTAATTCTCTATCTCTTTCCGTTTGTATTCTTCACTATCTATTTACTTACATACTTCTTATTAGGTAATGATTTTAATGTTTTGTGATTACTATTCCAGTCTATTTACCCACGTTTGACCTCTTAATTCTTATGTTTAATTATTGATAAGACTTTTGTTATCGTAATTTACTATTCTTACTACTATCAGTACACCTATCTTCCCACTATCAACTTGTACTTTTAACTATTATTATGCTTGGTAACGTATTCTATTTCATTGTGATTATTATTGACTCGAATAGCCTTGATTGGTCTAACATTTTCATATAAATCTTCATGTATATTAGAGTAAAGCCTGATGACGATCTAATTGAAAACAATTGTTCGCTTACATATGTTGTTCTAATTTTCACAGTGGGAATCTTTAATATTCTAAAACATAATTTGTGGAAATTAT